AGCAAGAATGAATAATTTACAATCACGTGAGATTAAATTCAGTGTTACAAATTGTGAACCAACTTGTGTTTACATAAACAGCACAGACACAATACTTTATTCACCGAGGCTTATCTCTAGTATACTACGGGAACAAGGTTAGTTTTTTACTACTATAGCGAGACAGAGTGAATGAACCAACTTGTGTTTACATAAACAGCACAAACACAATACTTTATTCACCGAGGCTTATCTCTATTATACTACGGGAACAAGGTTAGTTTTTTACTACTATAGCGAGACAGAGTGAATGAACCAACTTGTGTTTACATAAACAGCACAAACACAATACTTTATTCACCGAGGCTTATCTCTAGTATATTACGGGAACAAGGTTAGTTTTTTACTACTATAGCGAGACAGAGTGAATGAACCAACTTGGGCATCCATTGTCACGAAACCCAGTATGCTGCCTTGTATTTGGGGAAAGTTCGTTGAAGCTGTTGACACAGTGATGAAAATTGTCTCCAATGATCTCCCTTGGATTGTCTGCAAAAACATAAAAACGTGATCCAGAAAATGAACAGGACAGGAATATACACAGTCCGAGTATATGTAGAGGTTTCAGTGACGAGTAACTAGGTTAAGATATAGATTTAATATAGAAACGTGATATAACACCGTAATAAGTTAGAGAGATATAAACATGTGAAATATCCTTAAAACATGAACCATCAACAAAACATCAAATCAATAACATAAACCATAAACAAAACATCAAATCAATAATAGGAACCATAAATAAAACATTAAATCAATAACATGAACCTTATATAAAACATTAAATCAATAACATGAACCTTAAATAAAACAATACTTACCAGATCTTCAGGTTCAACTGTAATGATACTTTCGACAAGATGACCAGGACTTTCTCTTATCACAAGTTTTAGAAACTCTGACGTAGAGCTGTCCAAGTTTGGCACGATCCTAAGGAGAAGCGGCTCCTTGACTGGCTCAAGGTGATCAATAAAACACTCCCAGTCGACAGCGACGGCTAAAAAATACGATATACTAACAGTCATTATGGTGTGTAAGCCTTTTACAAGCCCGTGAAGAATAATTCAAATTATACTTGTCATGAGACCTATCGGGCCTATTGCATTAAATACTACATTCTTTATCTAGTCCGTTAGTGATTTTCAAGAATTAGAATAATGTATAATAATGCTGATTAAAAGTATGGTTTTTATATATAACATACTACATGATTAGAATGTTACCGACACTAAAATAGTTTTCCCAACATACAGGGTTTAGATACACACTATAAGCTTTTAATTATCATGCCATCTGAAGAAAAGTATGAATATAGTGTCTCTGGATCACGAGCAAAATATCAACTACAACATCGTGATAAATATTTCAGTTCTAACTTAGTCAGAGAAAAATAAGATTTTGGAATATAACAAATAGAGTAACTTACTGATTAGTGATGTATTCATCAACCTCATTTTTCTCGTTATACAAGAGCCTGTTAACATTGGACCAAACCTAGAGTAAAATATTAACTACTTTAAAAATTAAAGCTGCTACAAGGCATACAAAATTAGCATTGAACTAAACCTAGAGTAAAATATTAACAACTATAAAAACTAAAGCTGCTACAAGGCATACAAAATTAACATTGAACTAAGCCCGGAATGAAATGTTAATTACTGAAAAACCAGCTGCATACCATACAAAATTAATATTGAACTAAGCCCGGAATGAAATGTTAATTACTGAAAAACCAGCTGCATACCATACAAAATTAATATTGAACTAAGCCCGGAATGAAATGTTAATTACTGAAAAACCAGCTGCATACCATACAAAATTAACATTGAACTAAGCCCGGAATGAAATGTTAATTACTGAAAAACCAGCTGCATACCATACAAAATTAACATTGAACTAAGCCCGGAATGAAATGTTAATTACTGAAAAACCAGCTACATACCATACAAAATCACAACCTTGAAAACAAAACTCTTTTTCTAATTTCCAAAGCCCATCGACAAGTTTTAGTAATAAGTTTTCTTACTAGTTCGTGAACATATGTGAAAACCTAGTTTTTTAGGTACGCACGAGTCAAAGCAAAGCATAATACGTTATAGTCAATCACTTTACGTCCGTTCTCCCTATCAGGCTGACTGGGGTGAAACAGACACAGTTATGGTCTAGTCGCTATATATCAATATCATCAATCTCCATGGTGATATACAGACAGTGAAATTACAATAATTTCCAGTCTTATTTAAGTCTTTACAAATCAGGTATAAATTAATAACAGAAAATTATTTATTTTATTTTAACACTGTTTGTTTAAAAATATTTATTTTATATTTTATTTCAATTAACAAACATTTATAATAAGATTTAATTTTTGTCCCTTTCGTGACTCGTTTTCACGTTAAATTGAAATCGTTTTGACTAATATACGTAGATTAACGTCAGAGAATTCCGTCTGACGAAGAGGGTTTATCAGAAATAATCTTTGGAACAGTTATCATGGAAAAGTAAGTCAGTCGACGAGTGAAAAATATCTTCCTAAAATTCTTTGTATTTTTATTAATATATTGTTAACAATAATTACCTTACGACAGGATTTACGTTCGTTTGACCACCCGTCATCAGTAGCCTTAACGGACACCCCGTGACCTCAAATAATATTCTTGTATGAGCGACTGTTGTTTGTCCAACCTGGTTTACGAATAAAATTTCAATCATTAAAATAGCAACAAATTGTTATCAATCAACAGAAAACTTATTTCTTAAAAAAACAAAAACAATAACAACAATAAAAAAGCAAAAAAATAGAAAAGTACCAAAAAAAAAAAAAGGATTATTATTGTGTCGTCAATGGTCTTCTTGACTGGGATTTGTCTCCTCTTCGGGATCTGGCGGGTCAGGTGCTAAACCGTCAAAATAATAAGTTTGATTTGAATTTCGCTCAAAGCTACACGAGAGCTATCTGCGCTATTCGTCCTTATTAGTAGCGGTAGACTACAGGGAAGACAATAACCCACCGCGAACTCTTGGGCTACACGAATAGTGGGATTGGCCGGCACTTTAAAACGCCCTTATGGCTGAAAGCGCGTGCATGTTCGATGACAGGGATTCGAACCCGTGACCGTCAGCTTGCGAGTCGAGCGCCTAAACCACCAGGCCGTGCCAGGTCCCGTCAAAATAAAGTTAAGTAAATGGAAAAACACCACTATCAAAACATACTGTGATGGATTTAGTACACAATTAAGTTACAAACCAAGCTTTTATAGTAGTGAGGTATCGAAAATCGAACTGGTGTATTTAAGTGTTTTACACTCACAAAAATAAACCTATCATTCTATAGGTATTTGAAGAACTTGTAGCATTTCGCCACAATTTAATTCTTCGTATTTGGTCCGATATTTCATTGGTGGTAGTGTCCAGGGGTCACTGATGAGGAGTGGAATTCTCCGAAACTAGTCTGGCTCACAGACACACACCCCAATGAAAGAATATACCACCCAAAGCTTTTACTTATTGTTAAACAAATGTTTAAACAACTCTCTTTAAACTAAATATTTGTAGAACAAAAGCTATAATTCATAAAATGATTGACTAGGAGTTATACAGTGTTAAGTAGTAAATGAATACGTTATATTAAAATGATTTTGAAGCCTCACCAAAATCTTGTCAGGCTTTATCTGATGACCGTGCATCTTGACAATAGCTTTGCAGCGTACTTTCCATTGCAAACGCTCCGTTATAAGTATGTCATGTCTAAAATACACCACTTTTCCTGCATGCTTTCAACAGTCCGACCGCACAGAGATTCGTAGGCGCTGCATCTAGCGACTCGAATGGAATGTCTTTGTATAAAATAGCAGAATACTCGTTTCATTCCCCAACTGCTTGAGGTATGTGACGTTTGAGTGGATATTTTTTCAGATGGAGATCCTTCCTTATGTGTACTGTTTCCAGAAGCACATGGATCGTTTTTGCTACAGGACTTTTTATTTCTTTATTCCCTGTTCAAAGACATGACACTTTGCTCATCATCACTGAGGTACGACTAATTGCAGGTCTCTTTTTTGGATGGTCCTGATATTCCAAGTTGATCCATATTCCTTTGCTTTCTAATGTTTTTAAGTACAAGGAATATTCTCGTTCTGCAAATTCAAAATTGAACACATTTTTATGATCTGAGTGTATGAATATTTTGCGTCGGAAAAAGTTGTTATATGCCCTTCCTAGAAGTAGCCAGTTTTCGATGGCATTGTATTACCTACGAAATGCCAAATAATGTCAAAATGTAGTTATGATACATGTCATTCCACCGCGACTTTATATCGCTTGTGGTTATCAAAATTTCAAAATCGTTTTAATATAACGTACTTAACTCTTCAACAATATATATATATATATAATTTTTTTGTTTCCCTGCTTTTCAAAATAATCCTCGGTGGTTCAGCGTTTAGCTTGCCGGTTTATATCGCAAAAGTTCGGGGCTCGATTCCTGCAGAGAACAAACTATAGCGCAGCTTTATGCTTGAAACAAACTGTTCTTCAAAATTTCTAAACATAATTGGTATCATAATTCAACATGTGTTCCTGTTTTTCAAGAGTTTCTAAACGGAAACTGACATATAATCCTATTGTATCGTAGAGCAGTTCTCAACGTTTTGTTAAACCAAAATTCACCCTGAACTCATCAATATCAAAATCACTAAACGTACGTGTTCCAGTGTTGTTGTAGACTCGAGTTAGTAAAGCAAGACGCATAGATTGAACATGCACACACAAAAACAGCAAATTTTGTCAAGGTAGATAGTTCAAGGATACCAAAGTTGAAAGAAAATGCAATCAGGAAATGCAATAAGAATGACACAAACAAATAAATGTACGCTGATAATACGTATATATAACTTGTTGGATCTACAAGTGGCATTTATTGTACATAATGGAAATTCGTGAATACGATATCTAAGAAACAGCCCCCATATATGAGCGGCCTGGCCTGGTTTGAGTCGCAAACTGAGGGTCGCGGGTTCGAATCTCCGTCCCACCAAACATGCTCGCTCTTTCAGCAGTGGGGGCGTTATAATGTGACGGTCAATCCCACTATTCGTTGGTAAAAAGAGTAGCCCAAGGGTTGGCGGTGGGTGGTGATGACTAGCTGCCTTCCTTCTAGTCTTTCATTGCTAAATTAGGGACGGCTAGCTCAGATAGCCCTCGTGTAGCTTTGCGCGAAATTCATAACAAACCAAACCCAAAATATGGATATAAAAAAAACATTTTCTCAATAGGATTAGTAACAGCTTAGTAAAGCCACGTAATTATTTAAACTTATGAGAGAGGGCGTGACCTACTTGTAAACCGATAAAGATGTCTTATAGTTTGGATTACGGAGAAGAAGAAATGTTTGAGAAACATACTTCAAGGCAGCGTCAATGAAGGTATATTTAACCCTAATGATCCACCACCGTATCCAGGCAATACAACTGAATGATTTTGTTTGTTTGTTGTCAAGTGGAAAGCTACACAGCAGGTGTTGCGCTCTGCCAACAGCGGTTGTCGAAACCTGATTTTTAGTGTTAAAAGTCCTCAGATTTAACGCTGAGCAACCGGGAGCAACTGAATGAATGTCGTACATAGTTAAAATGCTATGAATTCGTTTGAAATACGCTTTAAAGGTTAATGTAACCACAAGATTATTAATTAAACTAATCATATGTTCTTAGATTTAGAGCTATTAAAGCACGAGGCTTTGTTTTAAATCCAATTAATATAAATAATTGTTGTTTTTTTGTTTTGATTTTTTTCTCAGTTTCATTGTAGGATAACAAGTCTTTGTAAACTTTCTCCTGATAATAAGAGAGCGATAGTGTTAAGACTTAAAACTGAATCAAAATTACAAGTATCACCTATGACCTTCATTATACATGTCCTGTGATAATACTAATACGTATTGTTTGGGCAATATGGTGTCCCAGCCCCCAAAGGAAAATCTTGAATGTGTCATTGCTAACTTTTTCAGTTTATTTGAGATTTGTTGGTTATCTTAAAGTATGTCTATATGAAATCCAATTTGCTGAAAACAAAATATACCTACATAATTTATAATAAGCACCACATATAATCTTATTACTATTGTGTGTGTATGTGGGATAAATGTGAGTGGCTTAAATGCATTACATTAGACCTATTAGCATAAAATATTCGTATTCCGCTGCGGGGTTCAAATGTACAGAGGTTCCAATGTACCGATAAACTTCCTCCAATATCCCTAATTACGTTTTTAGCTATTCAAAGAACGAGGAGGTCCGTACCCCAATATAAACCTCGTTAGGCCCGCCAGTGGTTCTGAACACGTATGTCACTGGTCCCGCTAGCTTGTGAGTTGGGATACGAATATAGTTTCAAACATGGTGCCCCATGATCCTGAAGGGGGTAGGAACAGAAAATTCTATACCAGATTCGGGTTCAGCGATCCTGAAAACATACTTCTAAACCCCCACCTCCCAATCATGCCTGGATGACCCACCAAGATTGGTCCTGCTAGCTCTAAAAGTTTGAGAGACAAACAAACATACAGCGTGAATTAATGTGGGAAATTAATGGAGCCAGAAGTAGATACATATTCTTTATTAATATCTGAAACTTAGTTCATACCTTTAAAACAGGGTATTCTGGGTAATGATCAACACACACACACACACATATATATATATATATATATATATAATTAATACGAACAGAGTAGATACAT